TGGGGAAGAAGATGGGGCAGGTGGTGGCACGCTAGGAGCGTGGGGGGGGACAGCAGGTTGTACATTCGCGTCGGCAGCAGCATCCACTACTTGATTTGCTCGCAGGAGAGTGAGTACTTGTTCCAACAGCATTTCAGTACGGGAGGCCTACGTCGAGGCGTGCGATGCAGCATGGCGTGGTGACTCAACAGGTTCGTCCAAAGGCAAGGAAGATGTGGGATGATCCATAACGGCATGGGCAGGGGCATGGCTTTTCACAGCGGCTGAACGTTCACGAAGTTGCATGTTGGCAAGTTTGAAAGCCAAAGAAGACCTGGTCGGTTGGCCTACATCAGCGGGAGGGCGTAGAGCAAGCGGTGAAGAACAGAGAGAACCGTCTTCTGAAGCATCCTTGCTTTCCCCCAACAACCCAGAGCTACGAAAATCACCTCGATCATACATCACTTGCCTGATACCGTGGCCTGACTTCCGTCGCCCTTTCCCACCGCGACTGCTATCAGTGCTGGTCGCCCTGCTATTGCCCCCGCTCTGGTTCTGGCTCCGGCTACGGCTACGCCTAGACGGAGGCGTGTTTCTCCCACGACGGTCTCCGCTCCGGCTGCGCCCACGCCTAGACGAAGGATTGGTGCGCTGTTGTCGCTCTGCGCTCCGACTCCTGCTCCGGCGATGGCGACTCGCCGGCGAAGACCTCGTAGGCTGGTTCCCCACGGTTCGCCCTCGCCTGTGATCTCCGACGCCGCGCCCTCGCGAAGACTGGGTGAAGCGGTGGTGGTCGTCCGTCCCGCTCTTGGCCGTCGAATCCCGGTCGCCCCAACGGTTCTTCCAGCTCTTGGACACCGGAGCCGCCGACCTACTGAAATCCTTGTTTTCCCCAGAACCATGTGCAGGGCGTGAAGAGGCCTGCCGGGGGGCTTGTAGATCGTGCTTGAAGTCGTTGGTCGAAGCAGCCCTAGCAAGAGGCAGCTGGAGTCCTCCCTCCTGGGTCACCACCGACGTTCCTTGAGGACCTTCAGAAAAGGTGGCACGACAGAGAGCGAACAACAGCTGGAACACGGACTGCCGCGAAGAAGGCGGAAGTTTCGCGAGGTACGGTGTGTGGTAGATGTGCCCGAAAGCAACGGTGTGCGGTGGGGGGAATTGTGCACGGACAAGTTGTTTGATGCCAGCCCATGCAAAAAGAGCTGCCAATTTATCTTCGTCGTGGAAGGTGACACCTGCTGCAGGCATCTCCAGCGGGCGGGACAGGAACGCTGTATCTCCCACGTGGAACTCGTACACCGTGGTTGCCGCCGCAAACGATGCCCCGTCTTCAGCACCAGCCGGAAGACCCAAGCCACCGAAAAATCCGGAGTCGCTGTCCTCGTCTGCTCCTGCTCGTTCGTCGGAGACGCCGCCACCTCACGCTCCTTGTCGTGCGGCGAGGCGGTACGATGGGGACCAAGGTGTACCTGGGATTGCGTGGGGGGGGGGGCGATAACACGGCGACGGGGGTGGGGGGCTGCTCGCGGGTCCTGGTGGCGGGGCTCCAGCTCCTTCAGCCGCGATCGGAGCGCCCCCTGCTTCGCCCTAGCCGCTTGGAGATACGCCTCACGCTCCGCCAGAACAGCCGCACGCTCCTCCTCCTGCTTCCTCGCCGCAGCGGCCAGAGCAGCCTCCCGTTCCGCCAAGCGCTCCGCGTCCTCGCGCTTCGCCTGCTCTCGCGCCTCCGCCTCTGCTATCTTCCCGGCAAGACCGTCGCACCAAACCTCGTTCAACCGTTGGTACGCCATTAATTCGTCGTGGGGCAAGAGGATTAATCTGTCTTCCGGCGGGAGCGAGAAAGGAGGAACGAAAAGGGGGGAATCGGACGACAGACGGGCCGCTTCTACGATATCCTCCAGAGAGACACGTCCGGTGTTGTAGGCCCGCTCCAGTTCCGCCGGATCTGCTGTGGCGATGTTGCTCAGCAAATCATCGACGGTGAACACCATGGACATTGGGGGGCTCTCGTCTTCTGCACTCGCCGCTGGAAACTGCTCTGCGGTGGGAGCCTCGCCCTCGGGTTCGTAGTCGAGGATTTCCACATTGTCGCCCAGGAGTTCCACGTTGCCGCTGGACATGGTGTCCTCTTTGTTAACAAGAACAGGGCCAGAGAGAGGGTAGCTACGATCGATTTTGGAAAGGGCAGCAGGGCCAGAAACAGTAGATGTAGGATAACCAACCGCAGTTGAGGCAGCAGCACCAAGAGCAGCAGAAGCAGTAAAGCCGGGTGCAACTTCGGGAAAAGCAAGCCGAGGTCCATGCGAAAGGCGTAGATATCCACAGGATAGCATACGCCCAGTGATAAAAAGCTTGGTGCACACGAGGAGCGGATCCAACCAAGCAGAAAAAGCGTCCAAAAGCACACCATGCCACGCACAAACAGCAGTAGAAGCTAGCACAAAAGGGCCCGTGTTGCATGGAGACACGAGGTTTTCCGACCAAAAGACACGCAGAGCAGCACGGCGTTCCTCCGCAACTGGTGCCGAAGTGCGAGAAAAGACCGCTGTGGGTTTGCGCTGTTGAAAGGTTTCAAATTCAAATGCTTTGAGGGTGAACGATTCCCCGAAAAAAAGTGCCATGTGATTTCGAAAAATGGAGGGAAGGCTGGTGGGGCGGCTGACACCCAATTTGTGTGCACACATCGCGTTCCAAGTCGATGCAAGCGGAGTCAAATCGGACAGCACAACAGGAAAATCCGCGGACATCGGCCGGTACGCCGGCATGAATGCAGTAGAGGTGGTAGCAGACGTGGGAAGCATGCTGTCATCTCGGGTCCCACTACACAAGGCCAGCATCTCAGGACGCTCCATGCAGAGGGTATCCGCTACAGAAATCACTTCATGGACCGCCGATGCAGACAAAATAGCTTTCGAGGGACGGCGAACGTATGGTCCGTTCGGGTAAATATTCACAATATTTTCCCCTGCACAAAGGTGCACTTTTCTCGGGGTGGGGGTACTTATTCCGAAATCTGAAAATACCGCGTAAATCGACGTGTCAAGGCGCATCTTCGCACGGAGTTTTTTTTTTTTTCCGTCCTTCGCTCGATATGTTCAGATATTCAAGAAATCTTGCTTACTTTCTGGAGGGCGGTGTTTGTTGCAGACACAAAATCTGAGACCGGATTTGGACAGCTCTCGTGACACCGATGATTTTTTTCCGATTTCCAATTTGACAAAAAATAACGGAGTTATGGGCAAAAAACCGGATATTGGAGGGTATTTTGCTTAGTTTCTTGGGGACAATCCAACCGTACGATTCAAAAATAAAGTGCTGCAATCGATTCCTCTCGTGATTTTCCACCCATGATTTTTTTCCCATTTCAAAAAAAAACTCGGGTTTCGGAGATATTTCGGGTGGTTTCACACGCCCTCGGGGA